GCATTTTGGCAAGCCATCGAGGACCACATGGCAGGCAGCTGGGGGTCAATAAATATTAATTTTCTAAATTTTTTAGGGGCCCTGTGGGCTGGATAAAATGGTCTGGCGAGCCGCATCCAGGCTGCAGGCCACATTTTGCCCACCCCTGGGCAAAATTGTGATGTGTGATGCCATTAAGCCACGCAAGGGGAAATTTTTGTCATGTTTACAAGCTACAGGATTCAGGCTTTCACAGGTAATTTGGAGTGCCAGCACAGTTTAAACATAACAGAAATTCTTATGAACGTCACATGGTTACGTGTTAAAAAAATACATAGTTTATTGGGCTAGTGGTGTAGTTTTTCAAATGAGGAGACTTGCAAAGAAAAAAAGTCTTTTTACAGAGCTTGTGTCAAGGTATGTTCTCTTTTAGCCACAATAATGTAAACTAGGCTAAAATATACATTTCTTTCATAGTCCAATGTAGCAAGAGGAATCTACCAGACTGAAAATATTTTGGAGACCTTTCCTCAGTCATTAGTAACATCTCTGTGTTGCTAGCATTAAATCAATTTACCAACACTGCAAAAATTAGAGAAATTCTTACTTCAGAACCAGACTATTAGAAGCCCTACCTTAGGAACACACGTAATTTTCTAGTGTATCCTTTGTCTACTGTGTTTGTGTATGGCCTTGCTGGGACCAGTTTCAAATTAATATTTTACAGCTCATAGGATGATAGGAAAGCAGGACTGGAAGGGACCTCATGAGGTCATCTAGTCCAGCTGCCTGCTCAAGACAGGATCATTCCTGATTAAACTATCCCAAAGAAGTGTACATCTAACCTGCTCTTGAAAAGGATGGTGATTCCGGGCTTCTCTATGCAATGCCTGCTGCAATGCTTGATTACCCTCATAGTCAAAAAGTTCCTCCTAACCTCCAGTCCAAGTTTCCCCAGCTGTAGCTTGAGGCTATGCTTGTAGTTCTGTCCCCTATGGCCACAGAGAAAAGCCCATCTCCATCCTGTCTGTAATCACACTTCAGGTATTTGAAGACTGCTATTAAATCCTCTGTCAGTCTTTGCTTCTCTAGACTAAATAACCCTAGTTCTTTCAGCCTTTCCTCTTAAACGTTGCTGCCCAGGGCCCTAATCATTTTTGTTGCTCTGTGTTGGACTCTTTCCAATCTATCCACATCCTTCTTGTAGTGTGTAGCTCAAAACTAGACACAGTATTAGAGATGAGGCCTCACCAGTGCTGAATAGAGGGGAAGAATCATTTCCCTTGATTTGCAAGTGGCATTCCTATTAACACAACCCAGTATGCTGTTGGGATTTTTTTTAAGCAGAAGTACACTGTTGACTTATATACAGTGTATGGTCTACTGTAACCCCCAAGTCCTCGTCTGCAGTACTGCAGCCTAACCAATCATTTCCCAGTCTGTATTTGTGCATGCAGTTATTCTGTCCCAAGTGCAGGACTTTACACTTGTCCTTTTTTAATTGATTTATGGACTATTTTTCTAGTCTATCCAGGTCATTCTGGGTCCTACCCCTGCCCTCCAGAATGGCTGCAACTCTACCCAACTTGGTGTCATCCACAAATCCACTAAATTGGTAATATAAGAATGAATATGTAGCAAACTAACTAGAAACAAAGAACAAATGTTACAGGTTATCTTGCTTCTGTGACTTTTCTTTTGAAAAAAACTCCACTCAATTTGCTCCCTTGAGATAGCCTAGGGCAGCTTCAGTGGGTAGTACAAGGAAGAAAGAATAAGACCTTTAGAGGTCCTTAAACAACTGGTAATTGTCAGGTAACATGATGCCCTAGTCTAGATTTTACTCAGACTGTGCAACTATCTTTTCTGAGCTGAAACTCACTCTGCAACATCATACTGTATCATTTGTGGTAAGCTGTAAAGGACCCAAGATCATGAGATTACTGCTTTCCTGTCATCCCTGCAAAATAAATAGCAGGTACTGCACAGGAATCACCTATTGCACTGAGAATGTGTGTAAAAATATTAAGATATAAAAATGTCCTAATTTAATAAATGTAACAGTTCTCCCCTCTCAAGTAGATACAGCACTAACCATAAAATTAGACACGTTTACTCTCGTTTCACAGCTGTTTCAGAACATTCATCCTTTATAGCAGGCTATAGTGATTTACCATCCTATGACTGCAACTCAGCTCCTTCATATTTTGAATGTTCCCTTCCATCCTTCAGCATAACAGTGACCCTCCAAAATTCAACAGCATCAAGCTGTAGTGTCCTTCAAGCTATTCTCAAATAACCTCTGGACTCCTGTCCTATGATCTTTCAATACATCTCATCTCCTAGTTGGCAACCTAGCAGTAAGCCACATCTCCTTTCCAAGAATCAGCCTAGCTCTTTCCACATACAAATATTTTAGGACCTCAGAGATCTTTCTGAATGTTGCTAACTTAGGAATTCACAAGTTCCACTTGTGCACTTCAGCAGGCAGAGACTGAGGGTCCATGGAATTTGAGTTCAGCTGCAGCCAAGACCCAGCAAAATGACTTACACCATACAGTGGTAAAAGGAGATTGAACCAGAATGCAGAGCATTCATTAACCACAGCCAAAGAGAAAGAGACATTACAACAAAATGCTTCTTACTCAAGGTAGACAGATGTAGGCAAGCTCCTGCTGGCTTTAGCAGCAGACAGGGGTGCTGCTTTCTCTACAACTTCCTCTCACTTTAGCCTCAGGCCTCACCTAAGACCCAAGTTAAACAGATACAGGTTATCATCAGAATACGTAGGCCCTGGAATAAGATCTTCAGAAGTAGTGGAGCCAATTCAGGGAGTGACAGTTTAAGAGGCAACAAGAGGGCTATAGGGAATTTGGGCCAATTGAAGTAACTGACAAGTTATTTGAAGGTTTTACAGGGGAAGCAGAGTCAATGGGTCACTCCACAATAGAAAGGAGGGAATGGAAGCCTTGCATGGGTCAGGTTAGGCAAGCAACCAAAAGGTATATTGTTGGGATTTGGAAAGCTTTGGAAATTCATTGATCACCCTTATTTGTCTCTTAACTATATTGAACTCTGTGATAATTACTTATAAGTTGTTGCAGTTTTGTTTATGACAGCCAATGTGCTAGAATGATGTTTTTGAGGCGTGCTCAGGCCAAATGCAGCCCAAATTCACAGCCATACGTATCTGGCCTGCAGGACTCCCCACAGATCAGGAAATTTGCAGACAGGGGACCTGTGGCAATAAACAGAGCCACTATCTCCCACTGCCAAATTCCCAAACCCCAAGCCTGTACAGCCAGTTGGGGCCAGGTCATGCCCGCTCCCCTCATCCCTGCAGTTGGGCCATGCCCCCTAATTTTTCCCTTCTGCAGGGCTGGGTCAAGCCGCCTTTCCCCTGTAAGGCTGGGTTGGGACTGGGCCATATTGCCTCCCCCGCAGACCCAGTTATGGGCTGGGCCATGCTCCTTCCCTCCCCACCATGGGGCCAGGTTGGGGCCAGGATGGCCCCTGCCCCCTGCCCCCTTCTGTGCAGCTGGATAGGGAACCGCTCCATGCTGGATCAGGACCACCAGCCGGATCCAGCCCACGAAGCACCTGGGCACTGTCTGCCCGGCTCACCAGCCAAAAAGGTTGAGCACCACTGTTTTAGAGCATGTAAGTACATTTAACTCCTTCCAAGTCTTCTTCACTTCTTCACTGTTAGAATAGTGAGGCAGTAGAATAGACTGCCTAGGGAAGCTGTGGACACCCATTGCTGGAGGTGTTCAAGAGGCTGGCTAGCCACTGGTCAAGAATGATCTAGGTGTAGCTATGCCTATGTTCTACTATGGATATTTGCTATGCTTCTGGGCTTTTCTGGTTGCTGCCCACCCCTACTTTCTGCTTTATATTTCAGGGTGTTTTTATGCTTCCCTCAGAGGCATTGACTGTTGGCTGCAGCCAAAGCTAGGGACTTTGACTAGAGTCTGCCAATGCTCCTGCTGTTACCAAAGACAGAGGTTCCTGGCTATAGTGTTTTGCCCATCTGCTCAGGGTCAAACTGATTACCGTATTTTGGGTCAGGAAGGATTTTTATGCCATGGTCAGATTGGTACAGGCTGTGGGAGGTTTTGCCTTCCTCTGTAGTGGGGGCCATGACCCTCTACCCTGGGTCTCTTGAACATATACTGAGAATATTTAATAGAAGCAGGACATTGGCTGCTGTGGTTCCCCTGATTTACCTGTGGCAGGCTAGAGTATTAGGTCTGTGTTGTGTCAGGGTTGACAGTTGCCTTATGCAGAGTTTAGATTATGGGTTTTATAGGATGGTTTGTATAGGGATGATTTTCCCTCAGGCAGGGGGTTGGATTAGATGACCTCTGGAGGTCCCTTCCAGTCCAACTTCTCTATGACTCTAAGTAAGTTAGATGCCCCAGTCTCTCTCTGTGGATATGCAGAGCAATTGGAGAGAAAATGAAAATGGTATACATGAACTCATACACAGTGGCTTTTTTCTAATCTCTAAGTTCTATTTTTCCCTTTAGTTCATATATTTTATTAAAAACACAACCAACACAATTAAATCAAGTTAGCAGGGATACTGATTAAGTCTAGAGATTCAGTAAAGCCACAACTTGGCAAGAGCAGAAAACAAATCAAAACTCTTTGTGCTGGTTCTTCTCTGCACCCTCTAAAACATTTCACAGCAAGTAAATGGAATCAGTTTTTAAATCCTATCTGTACAAGACAGAATTTACCAAGACAGTCCCTCCAGAGGTGTGCAGTTTGCGTAACAGTTTACTTACAAGTGTAGATCCAGAATCAGAAGCTGAACATTGTGCTTCAGGAAATTTAACTAATTAGATGTTTTTATCCATGATTTCCATCATTAGAAAACATGTCACAATCTATAGTGCCATCTAGTTTCCAACTAAAATGGTTACTATCAGGTAATGAAGCTAGATTTGTTTTCACACAGCATCCACACACACTCAGAGGAGTTAGGTGAGGGAAGAGTCCAGTGCACTAAAACATACCCTTTTATTGTTCTCTTCCTCTTGTGCCTTTCTAAACTCGTGCTCTAAGGAACAGTCAATCTCATTGAAGAGGCCCACTTCCTCACAGTTCTTCAGGAATCGTGTTGGTGTAGGAGTCTGGTCTGAGGATAGATATCAAAAGGATCTACAATGGATGCTTTGCAGTAAAAGAAGGACAAACAGAATATACACATTCAGATAACCAGTGGATGGAGAAATATTTACCTGTTCCTTGGCATCCCTCTACTGCACTATAATTAAAAACAATGCAAAGCAGAGGCACTGAATTTTGAAATGGTATGAGAGACGCAGCATACAGTAGTTGTGCATTTAATAGATACAGTTTAGGGGCCAAATTCACATTTGTGTTGATACACAACCGTGCACCTCTAACTTGCACAACTCATCACTGCAACTGTACATAAAGCTCACTGTATCTGTACATAAAGCTACAGAAGTTGTATGCAAGTAATTCACTAGATGCACTTGCACAACCATGTACAATACCGTATTTACCTAAAAGCAAGATGACTCTGAATTTAAGACAACTCCCAAACAATTAGCTACTAGACATGGAAACCAGAGATAAATTTGTTATGATTTTCCATGTCTAGAATCTACTTTTTGGAGGGTCATCTAAAATTTGTTCCCCCCAGCTGCTGCAGCAGGACAAACAGTGGCAGAGGGTAGGTGGTGGTGGGCAGGTGGCAAAGGAGTCAAGTGGCCTGACTCCTGCCCCTTGCTGCCTGTCCCCCTCCACCACTTGCTCCCTTGACTCCCACCTCTACACAACTTACACCTGCCCTGCAGTACTCATACCCTCTGTCTCACCTCACCTGCATGCCTCCCACCTTTCCCCCCTGACACCAGCACCCTGATGCCTACCCTTACCTGCAGTTCCTGCTTGCCCCTCCATGCCACTTACCGTCCTGCCACCTGCCCTCCTATGCCTGTGGCCCCTCACACCTGCCCTTCCCCACAGTGCCTGCACCTGTCCCCACCACTATTTGCCCCTCCCCACCCACTTCCACTGTCCCTCCTGCTGCCTGCCCTCCCACCACTTACTTTCCCCTTGTAGCTCCCCAGCTATTGCTGGGACCTTCTCTGGCCTGGGACCAAGGGGCATGGAGCATGTGCTGCTTTCAGACCCAGTCCAACCACAGAGCAGCTGTTGTGTCAATGGCAGCTTCAGCCCTGGTCCTGCAGCCAGGCTTGAGCTGCTGTCACTGCTGTGTGGCTGGGCTGGTGCCAGAGGCACCATATACTCTGTGTTCCCTACCTCCAGCCAGAGCAGAGCCCCAGCTGGAGCCACAGTTGCAAGTGGAAAGTAAGGTGGGAGAGGGTGGGAACAAAGGCGGAGAGATCAGAGGCTGTAGGGGGCAGGCAACAGTGCGGGGCAGTGACTGGCTCCAAATCTGACCCCAGGCTCAGGATCAAAGTCCTGTTAAATGGGAGGGGAAAAAAACCTCATCTTAGCTGTGTGTAAGTACGGTGTATATATAGCCACAGGGTACAAGTACAAAGATTTAGCCATACAATCCTGTGCCTGAATTGTTGAAAGACTGACAAAAAAGCATATTGTATACTGAGGATAACATAACAGAAGTGAAGGGAGGCAGAGACGCCCTATTTTTTTAATTGGTTCCTTTTTTGAGGAAAGCCTTAGAATTATATCAGAAACTTTATTTAAAAGCTAATTATTAAGGCTTCATCTACACAAAAAAGTGAAAGGAAAGTGTCAATAGTTTTGTAATTCATTTTTTAAAAGACAAGCAATAGTAAAATTATATTTTAATGTCCCCAATTCTTGCAAATCTTTTCTTTTCATTTAAAGTGGTAAGAAAAAACTGGATTCTCTTTAACGTTACAGCCAAAAGGCCTCAAGAGGGAAAAAAAATCTTTTAGGCTTCTTTGGTAAGCAGTTCTAAGTGCCAACTCTCACTTCAGTCTGGGACAGAACATTAATGCATCTGCCTCAGTTTTTCTATCTTCAAGACTCTATTGACAGAAATCTGGCATGGTTTAAAACACTAGATCCGCCTGCTCACATATTACAAATATCTGACACTGGTAAATATTGTGATACAAACCCTTCAAGCTCAAAGAGGAATGGCCAGATAGTCATTAAGGATAAACAGAGAGAGGGGGGGAGGGAGAGAAAGAGAGATGAAGAAGACAAACTTCTCTTCTTCCTCAATGCACAATTCCCAACCCAACTCAAGCCACTGATTATTTTGTTGCATGGAAGGGGTTCTGTGACCCACCTTCTAACCTGCCATCAGAATTAGTCACTCGCATCTCCCAAATTATTTAAAATCCATCCCAAAAGGATTAAAATAATATTTGTCTCACTAATCTCAGCAGCATGTATTGGACCAAAATCTGACTTCAGTTAATGCTTGCAACTTAAGTGAGTTCTGTGCAGAAAATATAGCTCCACATACCTAGCGAAGATGGGTCAGGTTCTAATATGCCCCTATATTTCCCTGTTGTGAGGAACAGTTAGAAACAGAATGATCATTACGTGATCAGCATAGCAACACATAGCAACCCCTAAACAAAGGGAACACAAAAGGAATGTGTATAAAAGGAAATAAAATTTCCATTTGGAAATAAAGGGTCAGATCCTCTACTGGTATAAAAATCCATTCAGCTTCCCCAATTTCATTAAGGAAGACAATTTACACCTATGGAAAATCTGGTTCTAAAACTTTTAAGTCTCTTCTTTTTATCTGATAAATGTACTCATTTGTATCTGTAAGTTAAATTCAGTAACGCCTCATTTTTTTAAGACACATTTAATGGAATATACTGATGTAACATAAAGAGCAAATCCTTAGCTTTAAAATTCTCACTTCTTGCTTTTGGCTTGAGTGTTACATTTGTGGTTTTCAAATAACAGATGAAAAAGGAAACAAAAATCTCATATTTGTGAATGTGTGTACATTCATTTATTAGTTTCACAGCTAACTACTGTCCTACCCACAGCCAGGAACATGAGACTTTCCAAGTATCTTCAGTGAATTCAGTATAAGGAGCCAATTCTAGGGGGTGCTGACATCAATGGGAGCTGAGCTCACCCAAAGCTTCCCAGGATCATGTCCTAAATAAGTAGTGCCAAATTAATCTCTAGGGTAACCTCACTGAACTTAGTGGAGCTCCACCAGAGATGAGTTTGGCCCAGAGCCTGGAATTTGTATTGAATAGCAAGTACTATAAAAAAAAGGAGGGAGAAACAGGTTTTATATCCAGAGGGATGAACGGTAACTCTACTTTACTGAAAAGCAATTTACTTTGTTATACTGAAGCTGAGCAGTGCCAAAACCTTCCAGAGTCTTTAGTTTTAGACTTTATGGTAAATATAAATTATCATATTTTATGAAAAGTTATACTGATATTAATTCAGCTATACATTTTCACAGACCAGTACAAAAACGGTTTCTAGAAGGCTTTAGTCAGAGCTCCATCCATCCCCACTAAGATAACTACAAAAAAAAAAAACACCCAAAAAACCCCAAGACACAAAAATTTAAATTCCTCTGCCTTACAGAATAGGCTACCTAAATCTAGGGAGAAAGTGATCTAAAAAGAATCTGTGCAGTTAAATTGTGGCTAATCTTCATTGCAATACATGATTGGCCAAGAAGTTATGCATTATAGCAATCTGTTCTAGTAGATCAGGAGCTACAGCTCTAGTATTAAAGTATTTCTGAGGCACACACAGCTGAATGCACGAAGTAGCTACTGATTAGGAACAGCATCAAATACTTCTATTTCATGAATAAAAGGCAGACAAATGTATTATATCATCAAATCTTTAGAGGTAATCAGTAGTTACGGAGGACTGAAGGCCAGATTCTACTTGCATTTGTTAAGGTGCTCCTTTACTCTACAAATAGCTGCTCTGAAAACAGAGGAGGCAAGTATTACTCAACATGGGTAGGTAACAGAATCTGCCCTCGAAGAGCTATTTTAAATGATTATCCAAAATGTAGAAGACTAACAGGACAATGACAATTACTCATATGGCTATGGACAAAAATATACATAAACCAGTATAAGTGATCAGAAAACGGTTCAAATCTGTAACATAACAGAAGTTCAGTGCACATAAAGTGCTTTAAAAATGGCCAAAACCAGTTTAAGATAAACCTGGATGGATGCAGTATCAGACTTAAGTGCCTTAGGTTAAATCGGTTTATTGAACTTCTGTCACAGAACCCCTCCAGATTCAGTTAACTCATAGTCTCCCAGCATCCCAGGATGCTTTGCACCTCCCTGGCAAAGCTCCCATTGCAGGGTAAATAGGCTAGCTTTGACCCAAGCTGTCTGCTCCAGCCAACCAGGGAGGTATTCTCTAGTGTCCCCCGGTTTCTGGCTTGGGCCACTGCAGGCATGTGGCTGCAATTCCAGAATCAAAAGTGAATGTCTGTTCACTTCTTTATTGGTTCAATCTATGCAGCTTAAACTAAACTGCAAAGACTGGATAGATTCAGTTTCAGGCTTTTTGACAATCTATTCTTAGCCTGTATTGTTATCTGAACTTCTGTGGTCTTGAAATCAGGCTAGGAAACCCATGAAAAGTTTTCTTACAAGATTTATAGTCCTTCTGGGTACTAGCTAAGTCAGATATGCCTCAACCACAGCTGTCACGGGGTGGGGCCTATGGGCGGCCGTGATCCCACTAGGCCCCCTGCCGTGCCAATTAGAAGATCCAGCACCCTCTCATTCTCGCCTGCCACATCTTTGATCTTAGTAGTTAATATGGGAGGCTGCCTAGGATCTCCTATGATCTCAGGGTGACTTGGTGCTCCCCAGCCTTATGGGCTATGCATGCCTCCTACCTCCCCTTTAGCACGCCCCAAGCCTCGCAGCTCTTCCAGACGTTTTTAGTGTCTCCAATCTTATACTAGCCCCTCCTGGGCTTTACTCTTGCAGGCTGGCCCCCCCTGGGCCTATGCCACGCGCTTCCTGCGCTCTTCCCCTTGCTGGGGCCTGTCTCTGCGCCTCTGGCGCTCTTGCCCCTCACGGGGCCTGTCCCGTGCCAAAACTGTACCTGGGGCTCAGGTGGCACGCAGCCGTGCCTGGCCCCTTGACCTTTCTCGGGGTCTTTATGCCACAC